AACGTGGTCGCTTCCCTCGGCGAGCACAGACATATGGTACATCACTTACCGCTATGTCACGGTAAGACCATGCAACCGGTCATGTACCAAATCAAACCACAAGCCACGATATCCGTTTTCTCGCGCTTGGTCCACGGCCTTGATGAAGCTTAGGATCTCCTGAGAGTGCTGCCGCCGGAACCTGAGCGACTCGAAGGCTTTGTATATCTTCGAACCGGGACCGGGCAGCTCCAATGTGGCGACTAGTAAGGGGAAGTCCAGACCGAGTCCAGTTTCTGCTTCGGGAGGCCATGCAGTTAGGATGGACAGCTCCCGCAGTATGTCATCCGCATAGCGCTGGGCCTCAAGATCCTCAATGCCGAGCGGAAAACGAAGGCGGTGGATAAGTAGCAGAGCCGCCATGCGGTAGGTCCGGGCCTGCGCCAACATCATACTGACCTCCAAAGTCGAGTACGTTATGAAAAGGTGTGCGGGCAGTTCGGGAGCCCAGGCACGTATCTTGCCTTCCACCCTAGAGTAGCAATCCTCTTCGTCAGATTTCCGTTGCAGTATGTGCTCCACACATCCATTAGTCTTAGCCTCGTAACTCCGCTCACATAGCTCATAGAGAAGCGGAAGTAGAGAAGAGCGCAACCCCAGGAACCTGTCAATGATACAGCGGCTGGGGTCTGGGAGCCGGACAACTGGCACCTCTCGCCGAATCAGGCACTCGACCGTGTCCATTAAAACAGGCGTCAGCACCACGGCGTCCAGGTAAGGCCGCTTGATCAGAGCTGGGTACCAATGCTTAACGCTCAGCAATGTGCCTCGCGTAATCACATGGGTGTCTGGAGACGGCATCAATGTGTTGAACACAAGCAGGGCCTGCCCCAGCAGCAGAAGCACCGCCGCGTCCTCCAACTGTGTTATTGAGGAGGACCCATCCATCAACTGCCTTAGGCAATGGGATCCGATCGCCAGATCATGAGAGTCGAGGCCTCGCGATGTTACATGCCGGGAACGCAGCGGCTTCAAGGCGACGGAATACCCATCAGCGAGGACCTGTGGAGACCGGGCGAACAGTCGCCGCACTGTGGACTGAAACTCGCCTAGGAAACTTCGGCCGAGGACAAAAGTGCGGTGAACGTCTAAAAATCCTTCTTCGGTCTCAAGCATGTGGTTAATCTCCCATGAGCTCCGAAGAGGCGGTGCGAGACTCCGGAAGTTTGGCGGGCTACCGGCAGAGCCCGCCCGCGTGGTTTGTTCGAGGCAGGGGCGCCGTGGGCCTTGCATTCTCGAGACTCTGCAGAGAGGCTTGGTTGGATTGACATTCTCGATAATACTGGATATAACCCGACCTCTAGTGATGGTGTGGACCGTGTCGTGTTTCTTCCCCTCTGCCATTTGCATTACAGATGTAGCACCGTATGGTAGCTGCCGGGCCACAGGTCGGCGACCCATGCGTTTCCTAAGTCTCGGACGGCATTGTTCCCCTACTTCACGGCACCTAGAGCATGCATCCTGCGCCCTGCCGAATGTGCATCTCTCCTTGTACTTGTGGCAGCGCTCACAAGCTCCGGGGGGTGATTTCAGCGGCTGTTTTGGGGGGCCGAGAATCGGCGAGGATTCCAAGATGTTGGTACTGGTGCCTGAGCTAAGAAACATGACCGACGAGCCTCACGCACTTGGTAGTGATATTCAGAACGACTCCCGAGGAGGCATTGGACTTCTTGTTCCACGCCTAGTACGTCGACATGTTGAGTCGATATTGGCAGGGGTGTCTAGGAACGCAGGCTAGCGTCACAGAAGGCTGACAGAACAAAACCATCCCACAACATGCGCCTAAACTTAGCGCCTTGCCCGAAAGAGAAGAAAGTCGCCGGTTTAATAACACAGACCGCAGAATTTATACCCAGAATGGTTAGTGCACACTTCTGCTAGTCCCGGATGTGGCTGAAGCAGGCCAGTGCCATGAATCGATTGTTCATAAGGATACTCCTGTCTCCATGCCGTTGAAGAATACCCTGCGAAGACGGGTTTCCCTAATTATTAATAAGTCCCATATCTCGCAGACTTTTATCGAAACTCTACTTCAAGCTCTTTGGCTGATTCTCTCTTTTGGCTTCTGAGCAAGAGCGATATATAACAAGCATGGCAAAGATGCGGTTTGCAAGTAAGTGACAAATGATTCAGGCTTTCCGTCATTCAATGGTTGACAAGACAGGCCCAAATGAACAGCGTACGATCAGCCGGGAACACTGCGAGTTCTATAATGCGGTCGTCATCGGTGCCATCTACGAATTTTCCGGATCAGGAATCGACGTCCGCTCAAGCCGCTCTTTTTATGGTGCCGTCAAAAGATGCGTCGACAAATATCCATCGTTGAGTGTGGTTGTGCGAGACATGCATACTGATGCGGCTTTCTTCGAACGCGTGGCAAGAATCAACCTGGAAGAACATATCTGCATCGTGGGAGAAGATGATGTCAAAACATTAGCGACCACAGACAGTGACGACGATGACTTGAAGAAAATAGAGGCCTTACTCCCCTCTGTTCAGGATCGGCCGTGGCCAACATCGCCGCCGCCTTGGAGAGTCATTGTGCTTCCCTTGTCTTCTCCAGAACTGCCAAACAGTGAGCAAAGACGCTGCTTCGTTGCGTTTTCTTTCTCACATGCCCTGGGAGATGGCATAAGTGCGCTCGCCTTCCACCGCACGTTCAGAGGCGGGATCTTTGATCAAGTCGACGAGGATTGCTCAGCCCTGGAGATCACCCTCGCAGACTACCCAGCTCCATTCGATACAGCCAAGAATCTACCCATCTCCTGGGGGTTCCTTCTCGGACCTTTCTTGGCTGTTCTCTTGCCTAACTTCGTATCGGATCTACTGGGGGTACGTGCGACCACGAGCGCCGTGGGTGCTAAAACTTGGACCGGCACCAAGATGTTTTTCGACCCAAAGTCTTTCCGCAGTTGCATCAGACTGATCGACATTCAACATCCGGAAGTTGAGAACATGCTCCGTGTGGCAAGAACGAACGGGGCCAGGCTCACTGCGACGATACACCAGTCCATCGTACGGGCGTTGAGCAGAGCAATTCCTCGTAGAGAGGCGGCCAACTTCGTTTCGGGCACGGCCGTTAACATGAGACGTTCTGTCGGCGTTTCAGATGACGAGATGGGCTTCTTCGTCAACGCATGCTTTGAATCCCATGATCGGGATGATGCTTGGGCCTCTCCCTGGAACGAAAGGACATGGGCAAGTGCGCGGTCCTTGACCGAGAAGCTGGCGGAGTGCGCCGTGACTCTCGAGGATCAGCCGGTAGGCTTGTTGCGATATATACCCAGTATCCGCAGTTGGACTGCGGCAAAGATTGGAAAAGAGCGAGACAGCTCCTATCAAGTCAGCAACTTGGGGGCTTTTGAGGCTGCCGCACCGTGCAACCCTTCAAGGGCTGGTCGATGTGACATCACCAAGATGGTCTTCTCGCGGTCTGCCGACGCAACTTCTGCACCTTTGGAATTCAGCGTGGTTAGTGTCAAAGGCGGCAGTATGGTGATTTCTATGGGGTGGCAGCCTGGAGCGATTGGAATTCCCGTAGAGTCGGAGCCGGCATTTGTCGAAGGGTTGGTTGCTTTTCTGGTGGAAGATCTTCAGAATATCAATGCGAAGTAGAGGGTCAAGTACTTCCCCTAGTGATAATAATAAACCTTTGTCTGACTTTGGAAGGAGATCATGAGTAGTTTCCAACCCTTGAAAAGAAGGAGTATCGCCATTTCATCGCTTAGTGTTCTCTCATAATCCGAATTCCGCAGTCGTGTGCTGTCGAATCTGGCGTGTAGCTTTAGGAACTCCGATACTTCCGCTGATTGCTATATGGATCACGTGCGTCCTGACTGGCTGCGAGGAAATATTTGGATTCAGCCGCAGTGGTTTCACCGCAGATAATGGTGTTTGTACTCAGCTGCCCACCCCCACCGACTATGAGAGGGATTTGAGTGTCCTCCCATTTCACATTTGCAAGACTCGCTCATTCACCTGGATGCGTCTCAGCTGATTTGCTCTAACTTCCATTCCATGTCGTTTGGTACCGCTCTGTGAAGTCTCGTCGAGGAGATTGGAGATGAGCTAGGTCGCAATAGCTCACATTCAAAAGATCCACACAGCCTCCAACAAGTCATGTGGCGACCATGAGTGGCGTTGTGTATTGTCTCCGCTTCGTCAGCCAAAAGGCATACAGTGCTGAAAGTATTGGTGTTTGGGTGATTGTGTTACGCCCCCTTGACAGAAGCTCCCTTAACTTCTCAAGGATAGGGTTAGCATATGTTGAGATGCTGGAACAAAACGATGGGTTCTTCCGCGAGGTAGACCCATTGACCATAACCATCGTCTGATGAGAGCCGTATCTCTACCGATGAGCCTTTGTTGCAGTATACAATATTAGCCACGAATTAGGGAAATTTTTAGACTGCGAACATTTCTCTTGACTACCAAACTCAATGACTAATCATGAGATAACTAAACTTCATGTTGTTTTCACTACTCTGGGGAAAACACTGTTATTATGGCAGAGCAATTTTGAGAGGTCTTTCAAACAACCTTCGTGCCTTTCGCGTACGCTTTCCCCTGCCTCGTAGCTAATGCACGCCTGAACTCGTCTGTAATGCCCTTGTAATCCCGGGGGTACTTTGGCAAGAATAACTCGGCTAAGGCGGTACTCTTACGCCTTCCATTGATTCCCAGGTCTCCTAGTAGAAGATTGATATACTGAAATATTCATCGTCAGCTTACCCGACAACTCTAATTATTAACTACCCAATCCAGATCAAACGGGCTAGTGAAGAAACAAAATGGAGGCCGGGTCGCTTACTTACAGCGAAGAAGTCATAGATAGCATAGGCATGCTTCTTTCCTTGAGCAAGATATCTCTTACGGGTCCAAACATTCCAGTCGGCTACTTCAGCCTCCATGTCTTCTTGACTAGGCAGATCGACGAGTCCTAGGAGAAAGGCTACGCCCCATAAAGCCTGCACCTCGGCTACCAAAGGGGTGTAGATGGTATCAATGAATCCGGGAAAGTATATTGAACGGTCGCCCTTCGCGGCAATGTCTGGAACAATGAGACGACGGTAATGACGGCTGGGGCCGTGCAGCAGCTTTTCTAGGTGCGCTGACCTGGAAGGCACCTCAACCGTGGTGATTGGGGACTCTCTGATGGCAGGGAGAAGTTGATCAATCTTTTTCTCAGCCTTGGCCTCCAGTTTGGCCCATTTAACCTGTTCGTACGTACTGGAGACGAGGCCAAGTGTCTCCTGAAGCTCAGCACTGAAATGGTGATACGACTTATCAAAGCCAGTGCACAAGATAATGTAGTCCGTGTCGAAATGGGCACCGTTGCTGAGTTCTACGGTATTTGACGCGCTTAGCGAGGCGATTTCGGTCTTGTGAACCTTGCAGTCACCCTCGTGGAAAGCCTTCCAGAAGTTGGGTACGCTTGCACACCCGAGACCTGCATTGGCCCAGAAGATGCTGTTGTGTAGTAAGCAGTGGTGATTTTGTCCACGTTTGAGTCAGATGGTCGTAAGAAGTATCACAGGTCAAAGAGAGGATGATGAGAGAACGGAAGTTACGCACCCATTGCCATGAGGGACCGGTTTAAGCTTCTGAGCGTTCGGCGACTTGTCGTACCCAGCATGTCTTGCTGCTATGATTGCAATTGTCTTCCAAAAGATTTTGGCTATGCTTCTCCCAATGAAAGTTCTATTGAAGAGCCAATACCCAGTGCCCTTTGTTTGCATGATACTCGATCCGAGATGACTTACGAGTTCGGTCGAGACGGCATCCATCGTGTTGCAGATCCCAAGGATCGTAGGTGGCATAATTGCCATCGGACCAGCGCTATTTTCGCGGATGATCCAATTTACTTGAACGCCATACTGTAATAAGAGGAAAACCGTGTCGTATGCCGATTTCGCAGCTCCGATAACCGTTGCCCGGCGAATCTTTTGCAATTTATCAACATGACTCCTGATCTCGGAAGAATGAACTATCGGCACATTGAACCTCTCGGAACATGGCCACTGGGGAATGACAGGGTGCGAGGCCGCGCCCGAGGCATAGATGAGCTTGGCGCATTCGATAGCCTCCTTGCCACTTTCAAGATTCAGCCTCCAGCCTCCTTCAGGACGACGTGTAACCTGAACGACTTTGGTCCGCAGCCTAGTCCTTTGTATAAGGCCAAACTCCGCAGCAAACTCTTTCAAGTAATTGTTGATGGTCTGCCCTGAAATATACCCATCCTTGGTAACGCCCTCGTGACGCATGGGGTAGAACGAGTACTCAAATTGCCCGTATTTGATCTGAGCGAAAAGGCCCGGATAGATCTTCTCGTCGCTCCAGGCCCCACCGATAGTGGCCTGCTCGTCTACCAGAACTAGATTGGCGTTGGCGTCAAAGTCAAGGTACGTCTTGGCCGAGATCAGGCCATTCCAGCCTGCATTGATGTCAGTATGGATATGTTCCCCAGCCACCCTTGATTAATGCCAGCTTGAGTGAGAGAAGCCAAGCCTACCTGTCCCAACGACGACAACGTCGAATATTTCTGGTGGCATTTTTTCAACCATTTACGTGAATCGTGGACTGAGAAGTTGGATCAATTGAAGAAAAAGTTATTTGCAGGTACTGTGAAGTCTGGAGGCCTGGTCGCGTGTGGTGAATTGAACATGCCTGCTTATCACGTCGCTTTTATGTATGTGAGCCGGGCACTTGGCAACTGTATCGCTCAATCAACCCGATGCAGTCTGTCAGCATGACCCGCAATTCCTTACATCGGGCTTGGGCCTCGCAGGTTTTGATTCGCAGGCATTCCGAAGCTGATCAGACCAAATAGGTGCATTCATGTAATCCTATTCCCCGGGCAGCTTCTCTCTCTTCGTGAAAGCACTCCAAACCCATACCTCTATTATCCTCAAATCTTCGATCACGTCTTTTGCCGCTGTTCGAATGCAACGTATTGTATATTCTCTCCCCAAGATTCCACTGTCCTAATACTCTATTTGTCTGCCTGTATGGTTCTTGGAGATCTGAGATTCTTTTTCAGCGGGCCCGAACCGGATCAACACGGTGGCCCATCTCAAAGAGCCGCGAGAGATATGGTTTCTAGCCCAGCAAAGATATCAGACCATGAGATGCTAAACATGTCGGAATAACGTTGGTGGTATCAAATGTCATTTATGTTTCACTGTGGAACTTAGGAGGTGTGGCAGTGGTTTTATCGACCTGATCTCTTTTGTACACCAAGCAGCGCCCCACTGGCACTTTCTGCGTCCTACATACGAGGCACAGGCATATCACACACACTATTCCCCAGTCACCGCTGGATTGTCTTTATTTCCTACCGGCATGAGCCAATGAAGTTTGGACATCCTCGACGTGACTCACCCGATCGGTGGCCTTGTCCACTCTGTCATGGTGTTTCCGGCAGCTACACAGTACGCCAGCTGGTACGAGACTATCCTGGGGACTATGAAGGAGGCGTCGCCAGCCAAGGATGCCCTTGCGATGGCGACACAGCCATCTGCTTAGACAGTAGGAGACAGCAGGAGTAGACCCGGGTTAGAGCTTTATCGTATTCACTAGCCTTGGCAGCATATCAAAGGCGAGCCGCTTCGAATCTATATTTACATGACATGACACATAGAACTCTTGCTTCTTCAGTTGTTGGCACTGACACAGACCATGAACAAATGTTTACATGTGCGACTTTGGCAGCAATGTGCGTGGACAGTTCCGTCCTGTACGGTCTAATCCGATCTTGTGACAGCGTGACTGATGACAGAGAGAATGTTCTCCCATGATTCGGTCTCATGAAGCAATCCACTGTGAACTATTATGGACGACAGTATCTCTTATCTTGCCCCATTCAGCCACTCTGCAACCCTAGTGGCATATCAGTGCTCACAGTTGCCGCCTCAAACGCTAAGCGCGTTTTTCTTATAAAGTGGGCCTTTAACGTCTGTATAACACTATATAAGCCACATGATAGGTCTCGGCCCTCGCAACTTTGTTATTTTAGGCGTGAGCTTCGTCACTCCTCGTGTTCATTAAGACCGGACGGACTTCGCTACAGTAGCCGAATGCCACTCTGCGCGGATCCACCAAAGATTGCCAACAGGGAGCAATACGAGGCCTCGATAAGTGTGGGACCAATCAGCGAGTGTGGGAGTCCGCCAAAAGGCCCTGTTATGGTTAATCCGCCGCCAAAAGATGGGTAAATGGAAGCTAGCATCGCCAATTCGCAGTGGATGACTGCTAGCTCCTTTCTATTGATCTGCAACAGCTAAACCGAACTTGGCCACAGCACATGAACACAATTTGCGTTCCATGCTCTCGCCTCCCCACGGGCACCGCCCTAAAGCAGTTGCAGACGTATAAGTATCGAAGACAATGACACTCTTGGCTTGCTAGTCCAGTACATCACAGTATTTGCATCGCCAATCGGTCTGCCAGGTCACCATGAAGGCTTCCAGTATCATAGCAGCGGTATTTCCGCAACTGTCGTTTGCCGCTGCAGTCTTGGCGCGCAACTCCACAGCATGCACCGATCCGGCTGTACGTGTAGAATGGAGGACACTGACAACTGTCGAGAGGGCCGAGTACATTACCGCTGTTAAATGCCTTGCAACAAAGCCGTCTATTCTAGGCCTTAACTCAACCCTATACGACGATTTCCCATGGGTTCACTCACAGTTGAATTTGGACAGTAAGTCGTCGTCCGGCTCGCCCCGATTGCGGATTTCTCTGTCGATTGTCGCACTTGAGTCTAATTGTACGTTCTAGTCCACTTTGTCGCTCAGTTCCTGCCGTGGCATCGTGTGTTTCTACAACAGTACGAGAACGCTCTGCGTTCGGCCTGTGGTTTCAGTGGGCTCATGCCGTACTGGGATTGGACGCAGGACGCCTACCGTTTACCATACTCACCACTTCTGGATCCATCGCCAAATGCGACTGCTTTTTCCTTCGGCGGCAATGGAGCCGGTGAGTGCGGGTTCGTGCCACCAACGCGCCCCAACCCCCTTCTATGCTGCATAACGTCCGGTCCTTTCGTCGACCTGCGACCAAAGTATTTCAACAACTACGAACAGCCACATTGCTTGAACCGATTCTTCAGCAATGTTACGCAAAATGACGGATGGAACGGCCAAGCATACGCGCCAGAGATGATAGCAAACATCACTGCCAACAACACCAAGTTTGAAACCTTTTGGCAAGCACTTGAGAGTACTCCACACGGCGCAGTTCACGGATCGCTCGGAGGTGACATGGTTCCTCAAACTTCTCCCAACGGTGCGTTCAAAATTTCGACCATCTTATGTATAGTGCTAACTATGAGCTTTTGCAGACCCTTTGTTCTTCATGCATCATGCTCAGGTGGATAGACTGTGGTGGCTCTGGCAGCAGGCCGACCCCACAGCACGGATCCTTGACTACAGTGGTAACAAGTTTGCGGCATATACGGGCGATGATACTCGTGCATCTTTGGATGACATCATGACTTTCAAGGGTTTAAACCCAAACATAACAGTTCAAAGTGCAATGAGCACTGACAGTAGTGATCTGTGCTATCGGTATGCCTAGGATACTGGCCGGAGAAGCAGGCTCTTGCATATCCTTTAAGAGAAGCACTTTCCAAATATTTTCCAAGCATTTTGAGTCCCGATACCCTACGAGCTCGCAAAATATATCAGTACAATTATACTTCAGGTTTTGCCTTTTCCGGTCATGCAGCCATACTGATGTGGTCATACTGATGGGGTCGGACTCGCAAGTATGCATCTGACAATTCGCTAAGCGGTTATCAAAGGGCTATCAATTCTCAACCGGGATTCATTGGTGGTATAATGGTTGTTTCCAGATGTATCTACTCCTTTCTTTGATTCCATAAGAACAGAAGAACCCACAGATCTTCTACCACCATGCTGTGCCAACATGAAAATTGATCCAGCCCGTGAACTCCACTGGCAAGTATCGTGACTCCATTGTTCACTAACCTGAATCACGGGTGGGTATTCAATTGTCGTAATTCATGTTGCTCTCTATAGTTCTTGACGCAATTGCCGCGCATGGGAAATCCCAGCCAACTCGCCACCCACCCGTGGAATTGCCAAAGTTTGCCGGTAATCTCCAGAGTACTGGGCATCAGGTAGCCGTCGAAGCCTTGACGCTACCGAGCAAGGTGTGCGTATGTAATCTACAGTTAGCTAGCCATTCACGCCATTGGATTGGAAGAACAGCGCACGACAGTCAGAGGACAGGGGTGCAGGTGCGATGACTGTGGGATCAGGGGGTGGCCGCACCGCAACAGGTACCGTCCTCCCAACAAGCTTCTATACCGCAATCTTATTTGCCGGGTTAGAACCAGCCCTCAACATTATAGAGCTTTGACCCTGAGAATTCTAGAATGATCCTGGGCATTTAGGTCTCTGAGATGGCCGGTGATCTCGGCCGGTGTGGCCTGGACACGTTGTCTGAGGCCGAAAGGATGGTCGCACAACATATGAAACGCAGGTAATGGAAGTAATAATACCATTTGGGTAGGATTTTACGTTATTGGACATTGCTCATGGTCGCTGATTGGCCCAACAGAATCACATCCTGATGGAACTCAGCCCCCCTTCAAACAGTAGACTCATATCAGGATGGTGTAACAGTTCGTCTCCCGGAGGCCTGCAGCCTGATTACTATGCAGTTCGAAATATGATTGCAAAACTATAAATCAAGTCGTACCTGACAGTTCGATCGACAAGTTTCACAAGTTTCCACCAAGTCACTTATTTATGGACTTCAAAGATGTGAGTTACATCCGCCCAACGTTTGAGCGTCCCGAGGATGGCTTGCTCATTGCCAGTTTGTAACCATATTTCCAGACAATGCCCTTCTCCGAAACAATCAAATTTAAATCAGAAGACTGTCATCAAAAGGTTCACGCTTCCTCGACCCAGGAATTGAAGCAAATGGAAGTATCAGCGATGCGGAAATTCCTGGGGGGCATCCTTACTACGGGGATTGCTGCATCGGCAGCCGTGCATACAATGGGTCTCAGCATCCCGCTTGGTGTCTATAAAGCCAAGAGCACGTATGTGGCCCGTAAGAAACGGAACATTGTCCGAGCAGAACTCCAAAGGCGAGGTGAGAGCAAGCATAAGTGGACGTTGAAGGATGTGGTCGCTGGTGCCGGCCCTGCTGCTGTCTCTGCCGTAGTTGGTGTGGAGATGGGCTACGCATTGCCTGGAATAACAGGCATGTCGGGCGTCGAGATGGCAATACATTTGCCTGAAGACGCCATAGAGAGCACAGGCTTGTTCAACGATAGCAGTGCATTGGTCGAAGGCGCTATCGGCCAAGCTGGACAACTGTCGACCACATGCTAGACAGTGCGCCTGAGTCAAATCAGGTTGCAGAAGCCCTCGCCAGCGGCGACTCTCTTGCCTACCACGCCGGAATGGTGCAAGCAGGTATCATCGAGCAGCAAGTGGTTGGCGATGCGACGGAAGCTTTGCTTCAGCGACCGATCGAAGCAGAGCCCGCATGCCCGTGTGCCACCGAATGTGGAAGCACATCATGCAAGCGGCACGAAGCCACCATTGAATAAGGCGCATACTGGAGTAAGCCTCCCACTAAGTCTGTCATCCCAAATGCTAACTCTATATTAGGTTTTTGCAACTGTGAGGATCGATCCAATTCAGATCACTACAACATTTGCCATGGCTGCTATTAGTTAGGCATGCAATGTACAAGCCGAGAAAACATACGCTAGTACAGCATCAGATTATTACACCCCCTAGCGGCTGATGGCACTATGGTGCGAGGCACAGGGCCGCATTACATAGCACGGACCTACAAGCGAGCAGGAGAACTTCGTATCTTTTTCCCCATATAGGTGGATCAACTTTGGGGGGCTGGGTTGAAGAGCCTCCACACGTGTTTGAGACTTTGCTACATACTTGAAAGTACTGTAACAAGGCAGCAAAAAAACATGCATAATATTAATAATAATGTTTAATTTTTAGAACTAGAAGATCAGCTACCGGCGAAGATAATGAAATGCTGCCTTCTGAAGACACTGTGTAACAGTCTGGAGCCTCGGAAGCTGCAACGAAGCCCGGGATCCTGATATCAGCGGAGACTGGCGCCATGGACTTTCCTTTTGATAAAACCTCTAGCCAGCCAGACGTATCCGCAGCGATGGTCAAGGACACCAGCGTTGGGGCTTGCGGTATTGGGATCGGGGCATATAACTACAGATTAAGCAATGTATATCACGTTCCTATCGGCAGAACAGCTTCATCACGGCTCTTGATACTTGCATCATTGGATTTGTAGATTCAGATGCCAGCTACGCATCATGTTGATTATAAGTAGTTTCATCATCACGCTTCGGAAGTAACGAACTCTTCTGATGTGAGTTGGATGGTATAGAGGGATATGTCTATGCGGTTACCCAAATGGTTCTCCACAGGTCTAGCAAATGACCGAAACGTATACTAACGGAAACAGACAGCAAGATTACTCTAAGCGCATTACAACAAGTTGAAGGTGGCGATTTGAGGTTTAGCAGTAAAATTCAACCGAGTTGCCTTTCTGCAAGTTCTACTCCCACCACTGCCATGTGACTAATGTTTCTTGCTTTCGGGAATGGCGGCATCGCCTGCCCTCGACCTTGAAGCCGTTCGCAGTTCTTAGGTGACCGAGAAAAGGACAATTCGAGTCATCTGTCACAATGACCACTGACCACTGATCAGCCTTACACGTTTTGGCATGCACCGTCTGGGTAACGGATCCTTGTCAGACGATCAACACGAGCTCGGACCTATGGCCCTGTTAGATAGGTGCCTAGTCAAGTGGATCTGCATCGGTAGCCAGACAAGCTGCCGTAGCGTGCGATCTAGTCCCGGTGGTTTGGGACGCACTGCCAATTACGACGATTCGCTTGACGATCATCATTACATGTTTTCAATTGACTGTGCAACTTCTCTGATCATCTAGACTGACCCGATAGAGGATTTCGCTTATCGATCTATTGATTGCAAAACTCTTAGACACCCAATGGGGCAGATGGTAACCCTTTCCCCAATTCATCGATCTGGCGCTAGTGACTATGCGAAATCTCTCAAAAGTCTCCTAACGTTTTCACCTCTTGAGGGAGGAAAGCGTATAGGCCAAACGGCCTAAGCCCTCTGATATACTGAGTAAACCCGTGATATATGGAGAACGTTTCACTAATTCGAAGTATCCTCTGGTTTGGTGACTGCTGCTAGGTGATTTTGAGTCCCGACAGGCTTCGATGGTATTTCCGCCCCGTTGCCTAGCAGCGTTAATGCCAGTGTTAGATCATCCTGAGGTACTTTTGGCCGCCGTCCAAGCTACCCGCTAGTGAATGCCAATCAAGATCGGTACCTGTGTTCGGAGTGATATCCGAGCCATTTCCATATTCCAGTTAGCTTGAGTGGATCGACTTAACCGAAGCGAGCCCACATACCTTCTTCAGACTTGGCGTAGCGCACGGGAACGCATTGCCATCCCATGTCACCTAGTATGATTAGTGATACTGCTTATATGTATAGGAGCAACGGCGCCGGCAGTTTTTCAAGTGCCACGCATCGTGAAACTGCAAAGACCCCATTTGCCACTTCTGGCCCGACGTTGCTTCGTCGCGTCGACGAACACCAAATTAAATCCATCAAGTTGGAGAATCGTTATACAGATGGATTTGACGGTGTATAACTTCCCCCCACAACCACCTAGGCTTGATGCCGTTGGTATATTCTATATCACCTTTTGTGTGGTTTGGACGATGGCCGTTGCCGGCGGCATGGCCTTCTTGATTGCCAATCGCCGCGAGCCAATATTGAAGATACGATGTTTACCGTTATCGCTAATTGGAATATCATTCCTCCACGCTTATTGGGTTTTGTCGCAGGTCGTCTATCCGGTAGGGATGACTATGCCACTTGTACTGGCATACTCCATTCAATACTTTTTTATGGGCATCTGGTATCCTCTTGGAATCGCTCTCCTGCACGCATCCAATAGCCGGTTTCTCTATGTTGCGAGGTCTCAGGAACAGTTTGTCCATCCCCGTGCTCAATGGATCTCATCTAGAGATCATAATATGTTTTGGCGCCTGTGGTATAGTGTGGATAAAGCTTCTTCAGGGGCTGGCCTCCGGTATATTGGCGCCGGCATGGTCGTCCAGGTGAGTTGAATGCTTTCCTTGTCATGTTACCCTATCTAACCAAGATGACTAGATCCTTCTCACAGTTGGAATGTGGCTAGCATGCCGCAAATACCACCCATCATTTGGCATCCCTGGGACTGAGTTGCGCGGAAGTTTTGAAGAACAGCTCATCGAACTGGGGCGCGGTTGGGAGTGGTGGCCGACTGTCTTGTGGCAGGCAATATGGACATGGATGGTAAGCACTTTGCAAACTAGTCCTGCATGTCCTCGCTGACCAACAGGTTGCACCAATTCTGATATGGAGGTCCTGGGACATCCGCGACACCCTTGGCTGGCGCGTTCAAACATTAGGTTGTTGTATCACGAAGTTTGTCAACACCCAAGACCTCTCGCACGTTGTATCTTACCAACAGTTCCAGTCTCCCGGCAACCCCGATGTGGCTATTGGCCACTTATGTCCAGGCGTTTTTCCCGGTCAATCAATATTTTGACCCTAGCAAATGGTACGTAGCACGAACTATAGAGCACCGCAATTGACTAATATGATACAGGCTGCACCTTGCGGACATGTGCTTTGAGGTGTTCGTCATCTTCATTCCTTGTTACCTGGTCATCCGACAGAAACAGCTCCGCAGAATGGCAATCGATACGAACGCAAAACTAGATTTAACTTCTACCAGCTCGATTACACAGAGTGCTTACTCTCCTCATTGGAAAGGCGCGGACGACGCATGGCCCATTACAGAGCTGGACATATCGGATCAAGATTCGGATACTCATCTTTTGACAATTAGCGCACTAGAATCGTTTCTCCAGCGTGATCCAAGTACCTTGCAGGAATTTTCGGCCAAGAAGGAGTTCTCCGGTGAAAACATAGCTTTCTTAACTCGCGTCTCGGTTTGGAAATCAGGCTGGCCTGACGTACCAAACGAGCATGAGATTCGGGGCTTGTTTTCTCAGGCCTCTGAGATATATTTCGATTTAGTCAGTCAAAAGAAGGCGCAGTTCCCGGTGAATCTGTCGTGGCAAGACTTGGAAGACTTGGAGTCCATATTTGAGCCGTCGACAAGTGTGCCTAAAAGTGCTGGAAACAACACAGCGAACGCCCCATACGAATCAGACGAATCGCCTCTTCGAGCTGGGAATCTGTTCTCAAGAGGAAATGAATCCAGTGCGTCAAGCATCGAGCTAGGGGAATTGTCGAGACCGGCTGAATACATCACAACGATACCACAGAGCTTCAAGCGCACAGTTTTTGACAAGGCACACAGAAACATCAAATACCTTGTGTTCACGAATACTTGGCCAAAATTCGTCGGCCAAATCAAGCAACAGGACAAGAAAGCTGCAGACATGGAACATGCAGAGCCCGGCACAGTTACGTATACAGCTCCTACTCAGACGACTACAAGCGTTCCAACGCTAGCCGATCCGACCTGATATACAAGGTACCAGTTACGAGCAACGGGATAAAATAAGAGAAGGAAAGAGTTCCCTCAATAGACTGAATAGATGAACGGGACCATCGCTACTGCGGGACAAGCGATAACTGAAGGGTCATAATGAGATTCGAAGCAGAGTCATCAGCTATGGATCTGGGAACCAGGGTCCACCGTGAATATTGGCTGAGATCAGATCCTGAACCTTGATCACGAGACGCCAAAGCAACAAGCACATAATAGTTAGAAGGTGCGAGCCCGACGCATTATGGGGCATTCGTTCAGGGTGGTACTAGCTAGTGTTGGTTTATTATCACCTCCTGACTTTAAGGTTCACGCAGTACGCGCAGTCATGCACAAAAGCTATCGCCCAATGTAATGAACTGCACAACGGTGTATCACAATGGTAGGACTGATACGCCACAGAGTTGCTAATATGGCGTGGCGGGAACTGCATTGGTGTCAAGGAATAGTATGAGACCAGGTATAATCCGAGGTCACATGTGTGATTCCATTTACCAAGAGACTGAATTCTGCCCTGCTTTACAGGTAAGGGAACTAAAAGGGAACTATATACCGAATGCTGTACGGTGCCTTACCGGACCTCCTGTAAACCTAATGCATCAACCATGGCAATGGGCCTTGTCACGTTGCTACAAGCTGGTAGATTAGACCCACATCTATATACCTTACGATCTGTCGGCGTCAAACCCATCTCTATCAATAAGGTAATAGGGTTTCATCACAGGTGCAATAATTCACTTTTCGCGGGCTTCCGAGAAAGATCTGGATTATGCGTTAAGAGAGTAAGAGGTCTGGTACTGAAAGATTTGGTTTGATTTCACGGAAGCAACGGACATATATGTTATGAGATGTTGGAAGACTGACGCAAGGGTCGGCGCTAAGCGATTTACAACACCTGGACTCGGCAGGGTTGCGGAAGCCCTGGCGTTCCAATTGTACCCCTCAGATTAATCAGGAATAGCGTAGCAGGGCGCAATTGGCGAATGGACTACCACAGACACAGTCGACTCTATGCGTGATTGCTGCATCGAGCGACAAAGCTAGGATCAATGCCATCTTCTGCTGCTTGTAGCTCATATATGCCACTTAGTGCTGACTCATAATATGCGGTCTGGGTATCTTGTCTTCGATCCCGCACCTCGCACTTTGACCATGACCCACTATCTAACTGCTCAATAAAAAAACAGTCAGCTGGCTAGCGATCAGAGCCAATATAATGGTACCACCATTCCAATATCGAGATTTGAGTTTGGACAGGAAAGAGATCCGCCTCATTGAGGTGGAACCCCTTGAAGTCGACGGTTTTGAATCAAGGTCTGGGCCCGAATCGGTGGTTCGGTGCCACTTGAAGCATGCGAGTCTCAACGACCCGCCATGGTACAGGGCGCTCTCCTACGTCTGGGGAGATCCAACCCACACGAGCCAGATCCTCCTGGATGGCCAGCGGTTCCACGTCACGGCGAATCTGGAATCGGCCCTGAGACATGTGGCGGCCGTGCGCCAGCAAGAGGCAGGTCCGGTGTTGACCTTGTGGGTTGACGCCATTTGCATCAATCAGCAGAACGAGGATGAGAAAATGCACCAAGTCTCGCAGATGAAGACTATTTTCGAGACGGCATCCGAGACGCTTCTCTGGCTGGGTCCCGCGAGCGAGGATAGCGATCTCGCCATTGATACCTTGCGCTCGATGAACAGTATGGCAATATCAATGAAGGGGCTCTTCTCTTCGTGGTCCGCAGTCCCCTTCGCCGAAAAGCCATCCGATCCTCTGGTGGCCGCTGTTCAAAGCGTACTCGACCAGGTGCTGATCGAGCTCTGTCGCGACGACTCAGCCCGGTTGAGAGCAATCAGCGCGCTATTTGATAGGCCCTGGTTCCGCCGCGTCTGGGTGATCCAAGAGCGCGTCCTGTCGTTCAACAGCACAGTCTGCTGTGGGAGGGAATCGATCATGTGGGGGATATTCTATGACGGGTTCTGGATACTATGTGGCCTGCGCGACTATATAAACCTGGTTGGCTGTGTGGCCGGCAGGGGCGATAGCTCTGCGCTGGCAACTTATCTCACGACGGCCTTGGACAAGGTGGTGCCTGTGGCCTTTACACCGCGTCGCTCTTCCGTGTTCCTCCTCTTCTCCCTGCTTTCTAGAATGGCGACCCAGAACCAATTGCAAGCCTCGGATAGACGAGACTACGTATTCGCGCTCCTGGGCCTGATTGACCCTGGAAAGAGCCCATCAATCATGGCGGACTATACCAAAGACTGGCCCTCCATTCAGGTCAAGGTAGCGAAAGCATGCTTGGCCTATTACGGACCGAGCTTCCTGTCCTTTGCCGGCGTTTGCGAGAGTACAGAAAGTTCCGCTGTAGCCGGGAGAGCCATACCATCCTGGGCACCAGATTGGTCATCTGAACACTTACCTCAGCCACTCAGCGTAGCTTCGGTGTTTGTTGTTCGGGGAAATAACAGAAGATCCGCCTATTCGGTATCGGCTGGCTACACTCAGACCCTGTCAAGAGGCTTTTCCGATGGACACCGACTAGCATTGGCCGCATTCCTCGTAGACGAGGTTGTAGAACTGGGCCGGCCATTCGCACAAGCCGAAACCTTCACACAAGACACGGCGCGAGTAGAGTCGCTGGCACTCTGGCTTAGAGACTTCGATGAAATTCTGCCATCCACCAATGAGGTATACCAGACTCTGGAGCAGGTAAAGGAGGCCCTTTGGAGGACCCCGATAGCAGACCGCGGGCTTCCGCACAACTGGGAAAGGGAACGAGCATCCGATCAAACATTCGCAACATACCAAGCTCTACGGGCTGGTCAGGTTATCCAGGGTGTAAAGTACGCCAACATCGCCAACAGCCAGCTCTACAGGAGGCGTCCCTTCAGGTCCTGCAGAGGTCATCTCGGACTTGGCCCTCTGGGCACGTCCACTGGCGACTCTATCTGGGTTATCCCGGGAGCCGACGTTCCATTCATACTCCGACCTGCGGGGAACAACACTTTCCTAGTGATCGGTGAGGCATATGTCCATGGAATTATGGACAACGAACCGTGGATATCGCCACCGGTTGGACAGCTTCAAAAAATCGAACTGATTTAGGGTCGGCTAGCCGACTTCAAGTCTCCTGAACGAAAACGTGCAAAAGGTCCATAGTGTTGCGAGACAACACAATTACAATTAAATAAACAGCCGAGGATATACAATAGCAGATAGATAAAGTTGGGTATACCCCGTATTCATCGTTGACATATTTAGACTTTCAAGCTATCATCGTGCCAACTCAATTTTGCACTTCTTCGCCTATCAAAGTTACAGTATCTTCTTCTAGTCATGGTATCAATGAGGAGCCCAAGCAAAACCCGAACCAAACACGGATCATGCCGTACCACGCACGTGGATTATCATTCTACAGTGTAACATCCACAACTTCTTCACCTAGACCGATACTCCCATCTACATTACTCACATCGCAGAGGTTCGTAAGACAAAACCCATGACTCCCCAAGTTAGTCAACATCGGGCTCTCGCGCACCACCCGTAGGAACACTCAGGAGATCCTTCGGCACCTCATTATCGCCATCACCCGGCTCATCCACTAGAGGCTCGTGCATAGATAAGAACTCGGCGGGCACTTCATTAGCGTGCTCGTCCTCGCTCTCATCAACATGGGCCTCGCTCAGCAGCCCGGGCGGGACCTCATTGTCGCTCTCGTCCTTGTGGTTACCGCCGAGCAAGTCCGCCGGCGGTTCGTTATGGATAGGCTCCTCGACGGCGTCTTCGTACTGCGATGTTGGTAGGGGTGGAGAGGTCGGCGGGGGCGGGGGAGATGTCGTAGACTCGGGCTCGCCGGCCCAGCGCCGGACCACGCTGCCGGTCAGCTCGTCATCTTCGTCAGGGTGCTCAGGCCGGTGCTCCTTGCGACGAGCGTCGGTGGCGTGCTCTTCGGCTTGCTTCCCAGAGCTGTGCTGATCTCGCAGATCGACGAGACCGTCCTGCAACTCCTTGTCGTATCCCTTGGACCTCATCAACCCAGCGAGTATGTTCTCGCCTTCCATGAAGCCCTCCAGCTCAGCGCCGATAGCAGCAACCAGGAGATTCCAACCTCTCTCTTCGACGTGGCGCAAATCTTTCTCCATCTCCCCGATGGTCTCCCGGAGATCTCTATACTGCGCGCTGAACATGCTCTCTTCTGACTTTTGGCGGTCCGGGTGGACGGACTCGCTCAAGGCAGTGGCCAACCTCCGTTCGTAGTCCACTATTCGCTGGACGACGCGGCTCCATATCTCGGCGCCTTCAGATAGGGCATCGCGTTCTCGGTCGACGGCCTCTTTGCGCCGTGAGAGGAGTACCATCTCGCCCTCCCACCACTCCTTCGCCATGCCCAAGGTCCGGCGCTCAGGGCGCATCCGCATGAATTCTAAGCCACCGACCTGCGGTTCCAGACTGCTCTTGGTGACGTCCCTGGACGATTCTTCGTCCGGGGTGGAAACATCGATTGCCTCCATTGACAAAACTTTGACACCGGGCGTACGCATCATCTCTCCGATGCCTCGTTCGGTCTCTCGCAGTGCGCCTCTGTACCCGCTGAGGCCGCTTTCCCGCTCACTGCGAACCTCCTCCATGCGGGCCTCCAGGACCCGTTTCTGGTGTTTCAGAGCCCGGAGTTTGCCCTCGTATTCCTCGATGCTCCCACATATGTTCTTGTAGTTGAAAATCATCTGATCGAGTTCCTTCTGCAAAGGGTCCTCTCTCTCCAGCGAACGTAGGTCCGCAGCGATGGACTTGTGCTGATTGGACAGCTTGTTCGCCTTGGCCACGGCCACCTTGCGCACAGATATAGCAGAGGCAATGTATGCGTCTTCCTCTTCCTTGAGATCTGCCAACATGGCCATGGAGCGCGCGATGGAGTTGCGGACCTGGCGTATTGAGAGTGGCTTCGGCTTCGGCTGCCGGACAGGTATCACGGCCGGCGGAGTGCCGTGATCCTTGACGATGGTGTTATGCGATCGGTAGGGCGACAACGACGTAGTTGAGGACGCGCGGGACGTTCCTCGGGGTGTGCTGGCCCCATCCTGACTCGTCTCATTCGAGGCCTGGCCATGATCTAACGCAGCGGCCTGGGCGTCGAGTAATCTCTGCAGCTCTTTCTGTATCTGGCTCTCGCGCCTCTGAATCGTCCGAAAGGTATTATCCACGTCTGCCGTGGGGCTCGGGTCGGCGTATGATGATGTAGTAGAACTCAGAAACCCCATGAAGCTTGATCCGAGATTGCTTCCCTGCGTCGGTCGCGGACTAGTCACTTGCCCCATGATCCCCTCTTCGCGGTCTCGATAATCTGACGGACTGGGTGGCTTCCAACTTGGGCCATTCCTGTGTCTCGACGTGCTCTGTTCGGGTATACGCTCGTGATGTGTTGGTCCCGCTCGGTTCCCACGGTAAATGCGCATGCGATCAACAACACTCATGGGAGGAAACTCTTCGGCTTGTTCTGCGTAGGCTACCGCTTTGGCCTTCCCTTTTCCCTTGCGGGTTGGGCCACCATTTCCGGCGTACATTGAAGCCGAGTCTTGGAATCCGATTTCGCGAGCGTGATCGGGGGACAGTAGAGGAGAGGACGGGCGAGGAGATAGTTCGGAGAGATCGTAGTCGTTGGAGTTTCTTCGCTTATGGTGCATCGGCAGAATGGGGCTGCCGTTGCCGCCGAGGGAGAGTCGCGGAAGGAACGAGGACTTGGAAGTCATTATGAATGCATCCCAGGCCTATGGTTTGCTGTGTCGGTGTAGCCAGCCTTTCATGTAGAACATGGCACCCTCGTCACAGAAAAGAGCCCCAGCCAAACACCAAGCTGAGCCGGAGTGAATGGGACGGCAGATCTACGAGAGACTGGAATGATATCGACAAACACCAGGGCGCTTGATCTAGCAGTTCTTGGTCTAGCAACTACTGAAGGTCATGTGGTGAGCACTGGATACATGGCCTCCAGAGTAGATAAGGGACGTACTGCACAGCCCGTTGTTCGCGGTCGCGAGTCGGGATGGCTGGATGGAGGATGATATCACATCACGGCCACGCTAGCTCGACCCATCCAGCCATCCCTGCCTGGGCGTCGTTATCGATAAGAGCTCACGAGCCCATGGCATGTGGCCCAGCTCAGAGTGAGACATGCAGGCAGCCCCAGCTTTGGGCGAAGCTCCAACTCGGTCTGTTGGCTTGTTGAGTCACGCGACATGACAAGGTCGTATATTGACAAGAGTTCCTGTTGTCCACAGTCATGGTGGGTGGACGCGCGACTGGCTATCGACGAACCTAAAGACCAAGCGTCACATTCTCGAAGAGTTATGCCTGAGGACGGCCCGCAAGCCACTCAACCAACCAGATATGACTGCTTGGTCCAGGGGCCCGGCATCGAGTCGCAGGGTGTTTGTCCTAAAGTGCATGCCTAGCGTACCAAGCCAGGTGTTCTTTTTATGACATGATTCTAATATAGCCAAACCCAAAGGCGCAGTCTCCCAGGTTTGTTTCGATAGACCACACGCTGGTGACCTGTAACCGCGTCCACTTGCAGAACGACGCTTGTCGATCGCCTCCTGAATTTCCGGATAACTTGGTCAGCTGCCCCCCATCCATTATGCATACAAATGTCCTCTACTAGGCATGGAGTCGTCCAAAAAGTGAAGGTTTAGGGCGCCGAAAATGGAGGCTCGCTGTCACGGACTACGGCCCGGTGCTAGGCCTCGGCCACCTTCGGCCTACCGTATTATTCCCTAGCCAACCACGTTATCGATAAGACGCGTAGGCTCTGTTATTAAGCTGTACCAAGCGACTCTTTATCGCTCGGGTTGTCTCTACTTTCTAGTAAAAAACGGTTAGCTAACTCCGTACATAAATGCGGACAGGGAGATCATGTAATTAGCGTCCGCGTGCCTATAAAAAATATATCTGCTAAGCCTCGTAACCCTAGTCAACCACCCCCGGTAACTTTGAACTAACTAGTAGCTAGTTAGACAGGACTTACGGCTGCAGAATTACATGTCAACTAGTCGGATGCCCATCGTCATGTTCAACCCATTCCACTCTTCAACTCATTCTTCAATATAAAAGCGAATATGATGGCTCAGCCGCATTCGAATTTGGGCAACAGGCACTGCACGCTGAATCCCAATCGTGCATGAGGTACGGCGCCCCACACTCGTCTGCCTCTCTGCCTGCGCTCCCCCTCCCCCCGATCCAGAGTCCAGATCCATAAGAGAATCATCTGAGCCTGCATGGATGTCTTGGCGTGAGCAAGGCTCCCTGTCACAGCGTCCTTGTCACCTTTTCGATACCTACCTCAGCAGCCTCCGCTTAGGATTCTGGCCACCGTCGGTAAAGGTGAGTAGGTACTTATCCAGAAATTGCACAAGCCCCGTGACCATGGAGGCATTTCAGAGCTTTATCTCGCTGAAGTCACCAACAAAGGAAGAAAGCGTTAGTGATCCAAACGTATTCCTGGCCCATCTTCAGGTCGTCCACGATGAAGGGCCCCGACGTCACCACCACACTGTTTTCCCGCGACCCCTGGAGGGATGTGACCGAGAGGCCGACAGCGAAAGTCCGACTCACCTAAGCATGCAAGGGAGCGGCTTCTGGCTTGGTACGGCCCCGGACCGCCAAACTGGCGTGGTTAGCGCTATAATTATACCTGCAGTATCGACTACTAGTCCCATCAATCCCTGGGGCTCCCGGCAGATGACGATATGCCCTTTTCCGGTAGGGCGCTACAAGCTTAGCCGAGCATGGAAGATATCACTTATCATCATCGTATCGCCAAATATACCCAGCTACCCTTGCACATAGCAAGAAGGTGTCAGAGTAAACCATCCTCGTTAGAGGCCCGAATGTAACCAATGTGGATCACCAAGAATCGACCCAAATTTGTAGATGCATATCAAAAAGCCACTGTAGGATACTTCATGTTACATAGGCCAGCAACTGTACCGATATAGTATCGGCCGGCGGATATACCACTGTCGCCGGGCCTTTAGTCCTTCTGGCTGTCACGCGCAGAGGGGGCCACCTCATGGAATCGTGCCCAGAACTCTGGCTTTTCCCACATGGCGTACAATTTGAAGTCTCGCTCGAAGTTCAAATCCTGGTCGGGTAGCATCTCGACGTCAAACGTCCAGAGCACCTTGGCAACGAAGAGCCTCATCTGGCGCCACGCCTGGGCCTGGCCTATGCACTATGGCTCACGGTTAGCATATTTCTAGTCCACTATGCGTGGTATCTTTCGTCTCACAGCCCTAGGCCCGTGGCCAAATGGAAAGAACGAGTCGGTGGCATCCTCTTGGAATGCTGGGTCCCAATGTTCGTGAGTCGTGGGCAGCCAGCGTTGAGGCCTATACTTGTGCGGGTCGTGAAAGTACGCAGAGCTACGCGTAAATGCAAAGTGAGCATACTGGACGGTGATCTGTGCAAAGCGTCAGTCTGGACGGTTGAAGAATCGTTAGAGGAGGCATGTATACGCCTTTGGCAATATAGTTTCCGTCCACCTCCGAGCCAGGACTTGATCGTGCCAGTCCAGTCGCCACGTTGACAGTCAGGCGCATGGACTCCATCAAAACCGCGTTCAGGTAGCTGAGAGAGGCCAGGGGGTCCGAGCTGATGTCTTCGTAGCTGTTGAATGCGTTTCTGATCTCCTTGACCAAGATCTTCAAAGTTTCCGGCTCGTGCAACGAGAACATGATTGCGCAGTGGATTTGGCTGGCGACCGGTTCATAGCCCCCAAGAAACAACTGGCTCACAAGAATCTCAAGGTGTAGTTTCTCTCTCTTAGTGGGAATGGGCGCGTTGGCAGGCAGCAGCTGCTCAAAGTGATCCGGATGCTGCATCTGCGTACGACTCTCGATCCTGCCCTCGAGTGCGTCTCGATTCACCCGTTCAATTTGGGTCCGGCTGAAGAGTACGGAGAATGGAAGAAAAGCCCATTTCAAGGGGCTCAGAAGGGGAAATTTCTTGAAGACTTGGTTAACTGTGATAAAGAAATTAAAGGCCCAGAAGATTGTCAGCAAGGGCGAGCTCTTCACTATCTCGAAGTCAGTCTCCGTTTAGATAGCAAGACCCCAGTAGTAGTAGAAGGCCTTACTGTCTTGAACTTGCTTCAGCTCCCGGCTGGACGCCATGTCGGCTGCCATGTCCATGGCAACCCAGTCTGTCCACTGGGGTTTGATATTAGCCTATCATCAAAAGGCATTATATTTAATACGTTGGGCTGGAGAGACGAAGAAGATGTGCCTACTATCTTCAGCTCAATCCCACCATCGGTATTCCCATAAGTTTTTATCGTTTGGACAAACTTATCGATATGGTTGTGCATGATCGGCTCAAGAGCCTTGAGGGACTTGACGCTGAAGGATGGAGAGAGCTTTTTGGCCATTTGGCGGTGCTTTGCTGGATCTTTCTCCCACGTAATTCCATCATCTCCAAACCCGATAGCCACATCCACCTTGACGAAGTGCTCCAGATTCTTGGTTTGCTTATTATAAATATCTGGTGAACTGAATCAGTCTATGATACCACTTTACAACTTCAATGTGTTTGGACTGCCAAGGCATGCCTACCAGAGGCCGCTTGAGGAGTGATGAAAACAAGCTCGTTAGGAGCAACGCGAACCACATCACCTATAATAGAGTTAGCGAGTTAATCCGTGAATTGTGGTTCACCAAGGCTCTGGGGAAAGCTCGCCATATTTCTTGAGGGCCTTCTCAACTGCCCATGGATATCGGCCAGTGAGACTAACGCAGCAAGGTCAGCGATCCTCCTCGCAGCGTGTGTCAGGTGCCTCAGACTTACTGTTGGTACGCATACCACAGGTTCGAAATTGCGGCCAGCTTTGGGCCTGGGAAATGCGATGCGGGATGTAAGTATGACAAATAGACGAATCTCAACGAGGCGTAGACTGTCACCTGGATTGAGGTTGTGGTCAGTTGCTGGACCACCCAGGCCTGGGTAGAAAGGAGTTTCCCAGATGTTCTTCACTCACTGCGCCAATCGCAAGGACTGCCAAATGGTCATTCAAGAGGCTTCTGAGGCCCTCGCCGCGTAACTCTGTCGTCATGGCTGGAGAGCTCGCAGTTGTACTTACAGCCCATTCGCGGTCGCTGGTCGGGATGGCTGGATAGAGCTGGAGGATGATATCACATCACGGCCACGCTAACTCGGCCATCCGGCCATCCCTGTCTGGGGAGTTGTTGGTACGGGACGAGGGGTGATCCACCCCACCTGTAAATAGCAAACGCCACAGCCGTGGAGAGAGCTCTTCTTTCCTCTCTCTCCCAGCTTGAAATTTTTTGCAATACTGTAGGATTTGCAGCACAACCTCAATCCCACCTGTGGTGCCGTGACAATAGTTCTGATATAGAAAAACCCAAAGGCGCAGTCTCCCAGGTCTAGACTACGCACGCTAGTGACCTGTCACTGTGCCCACTTGCAGAGCGACGCTTGTCGATCGCCTCCTGAATTTCCGGGTAACTTGGTTAGCTACCCCACATCCATTATGCTTAAAATTCCCGAGCGCCCACCACCTCCCAGGTTGCTCCATGCCCCCTGGCCCTCCTGGGCAGGAAGCCTTCATCTATTTGAGGGGGAGCCCAGGGACCAGTCCCTTTACCCAGACACGCCGGCAGCCTGTGATTGAGCCCAGGGGGCGCGGGAACATCGCAATTCATTGCTGTCATGGGTGGGAATGAGAGGAGCAAGCCGCTGCCTTGTGGAGTCGCCTTGCTGTGATGCCACCGATCGTTGAGGCTACTACTAAGTTGTCTGTTTCCCCAGTCAACTTGCGGCAGGGTAACCTTGAACACTCTGTTATATTCACCGGCTCGCCGTTTTCCTTTCTCGATAGAGCACCAATCCCGCAGAGTTGTACCCAGCGTTGCATGGCATCTAGGTGTGTCGCAATATACCAGCTCCCTGCCATTCCTCGGCCTGGACCCGTCTTAATTTTCCCTCCGGTGAATTTAACTTGCGCTGGGAAATACGGCTCCTCAACCACTATCGAACTGTGAATTCAATGACCCCTGGGATCCGAGTGTTCCGCTTGGCAGGTTAGCCATCTTCCGATCTCCAACAACACCTTCTTGTTGTACGGGAAGGCAAGAAGAAATCATCGGAGTGGGCTGGGCTTGACGAGTGACGAGTACTTGCCTACTGACACTCTGTTTGGCAACGGGTTCACACATCAGCATTGTCCTCATTTTCGACGCCTGAGCCGTCACTTGTTTCACGCCTCCGCCTCAGATCGCACCTCTCATTGTCAGGCCTCATCTTCACAATGCCTTCCCTCTACTACACCTCGGCGACGGTGCTTCTCGCGCTGTCCTCCTCGCTCCAGGTGTTTGCCTCTCCGGTGGCAAAGGAACAGCTTCTCAAGCGCCAGTATGGTAGTGTCGTAAGTTCTGATGCGTGGCCACGAATTCCCTTCCACCAGCTAACACGCCCCCAGCCCATGTCGGCAGCCACCAGCACTGTCACGGTGAGCGCAGCTGCCCACCCCCTGGTCCTGTACAGCCTGCAGCCCTGGGCCGCCGGAGAGACGGCTCTGTCCTACGATGCAACTCCCACCGCCAGTACCGTCACAGGCAACCCGGGCTGCTACGGGCTTGCCACCGGCAGTTCGTGCACGCTTGCCGTGAGGCGCGCCTTCCGGACCCAGTCCCCGGTCCCCGTGCTTGACGCCCGCCAAGCCGGCACCACGGCGTCGCCCACCACCGCCACAGACGGGGCCTCGACCAAGACCTGCACGCGCATCACGGGTGCCTCGCCCACCACCACCATCCCGTCCTTCTGCCAACCCTCGGCACACGTCAACGCCCCGGCCTTCGCCAACGGCACCGCCGCCGGATCCCTGCCCCCCCTGGCGACGCAGACCGTGGCCGCCGTGGCCAACAAGCTGGACTGCTGCGCCGAGTGCGCCGGCGTCCTCAACTGCGTGGCCTGGTCCTTCGTGCCCGCCTACATCCAGGAACCGACCCCCCAGCTGCCGGGCGGCTTCGACCCCTGGGGCCGCGGCAAGTGCGAGGTCGTCTACCACGTCGGGGTCCCGGGCGCCGGCGGCGACGCGACCGCGGACCCGGCACAGGACCCCGCCGCGGCGGCCGTCTGCCCTAACGGCCGCGTGGCCAACCTGCTGGACGTCGAGAAGAGCGCGGGCCCAGGCGTGTACTACGGCGGATGGAACCAGGGGCCGTGCGGCAGCGCGGCGCTGGAGTGGACGGATGGTACGGATCCCGGGAAGGGCGATGAAGCCTCGTTGTGTGGCTCGTGAGGTACAGAAGAGAACGTCGGGCGCCGGAAGCCTGCCGTCGGACTCGGGAGTTACAGGACCGTGATATGGAGATACCCAATCAATGATGAATGAACATGTTTCACAGTTCAATGACTTCTACGTGAGAATGACTGCACTGCTCTGTAAACACCTTGCTTGCAAACAAAACTAAGGCTGCACAGAAGTCCTTGGTGGTCGATTTTCTCTCGGCATCCCTTTCCCTCACGCCACGAACGGCTCCGTGAGACACGATCGCTTTCGTTGAGTAAATGCGTTGTGGACATGTCTATGTCATCGCATCGGGCCACGGGATCAAACCTTGGGCCTTGCCACCACGGGAGAACCCCGTGGCAATAGTCTAACGCTATCATTCAGGCCCACGCGAACTTTTACTCGTCCAACTTGACAAGCCTCTGGCCAGGAGAAAGTGAGCCATGAGAGCTAAGTCTGCAACATACACCAAGGTAGATCATAACACTGACGAGTTAAATCACATCACATCACGTCACATCAGATCCCTCATCAGTTGTGTCAAATCAATCAAATTATTAGCTGGCTACCTACTTGAGTGTCCTCAATCGCAGGTCATTTCTGGCCCATGCCAGTAACTCCTTTACGCCTTAAATCAAGAAGTCTTTCCCTGCCTAAAACCATTGTGCTCTTCAGTGAGCGGTTTGCCAGGATTCGTAGGCCCTTCCTGGCCGCCATACGTAGCGCTTTGCGCCATGAACCAAGAACATTTGTCCCTATAATTACCCTTTGCTCTCCAACGAGCCTTTTGCCAGAGTCCTCAGTCAATCCTGGCCCCTGCCGGTAGAGCATGTGCGCCACAAATCATGATCCCTGTACGTCCGTGTATCGTTGTTTGCTCTTCAGCGAGCCTGTAGGCGAAATTCACTATCGCCTTAGTCCGACATGCTGTGGCATGTGTACGTTGCCTTGTCCCTAAAAACCCGGTTCTCTACTGCCTTCTGCTCCCGAGGTTCAAACGATGCATCCCGCTCTGAAGAAGTTCGTACCGCCTCAATTTGGCAGGTCTTACAGGCACGGGTTCCCAACGTTCCATGGGATCGCGGTACCATTCGTCAATCTGGTCTGCGTAGTACTTGTCCATATCTTTGGCACAATCGTAAGGCGTCTTGCCATCCGCGTTGACGAACTTGGAGAAATCCCTACGGGTGTAGTACTTTACCAGCTCGGCCATCTTCCTGTCAAGCGGCTTGATGTTGTTCTCCATAGCGATGTGGAGGAATGTGTTGCCGAAATCATCGACCGCATGCCGATCTATGCCACGATCCCTGATCAGGTGTGAGACCAGTTGGACATTGGGGTAGGTATCCATCTGGGGAAGAGTATGCAGAACCGTGCGACCGTCAGCTGTCCGCGCGTCAAACTTGGCACCCTTCGAAACGAGAAAGTTAAAGATGCCGTAGAAGTCGGAGTTCAGGCCTACGGCGACATGGAGTGGTGTGAGACCAGAATTTGCCGTGCTTCCTGCAGCGTTAACATCGGCACCATGGCGAATGAGAACATCCAGCGTCTGTATGGTGACTTTCGCAACCTGTTGCATGTCATTTCTCATCTCATGAGACAGATACAACCACGGTGAGTATGCGACGACAGGTCTCCAATCGACATGCTTCAGAAGAAAGTGCAGAATGAGAGGATCATCGGAGCCGCAGTCGACCGAAACACCGTTCTTGGTAAGGAGAAGGTCGATGATGTCGACCCAGTACTCGCAGGCTCGGGGAGCTGATAGAAGCTCCAACAGCAGGGGCTTTCGGGACACAGTGTACATGGTGGCCTCGTCACCGGAACCTGCACCATGTTCAATCAAGGCCACTGCCGCGCGATGCTGCGATTTGGTCAACTTCTGACTGTGGCGTAGGTTGACGAAATGAGCGATAGGTGAAACATTAGAGAAGTACTGGTTGGGCACATCCTTGTAGCGCGACCTGGTTGCGATAGCACCGTAGTGCAACAAACACTCGATGATAGTGCCGTCGGCCTTGTTGGCAATGGCGAGATGGAGGGGCGTGATGTTTCCTCTGCGCGGGTCGCGACGCGGGTTGGTTTGAGTCAACTGGTTCGGGTCGGCTCCTGCCCTGACCAGAATCTCAATGAGCCACACCTTGAGCGAGGTGTCCTCGGGCTGGTGTCCGGGGTCCTTTGCATCAATCATCATGACGAAATGGATGGCATGCCACAGAGCATCATGACGACCTGGTGCGAGTTCAGGCTGGTCCACGATGGCGCCGGCGTGGAGCAGGGCCTGGACCATGTGCGGGTTGCGAGCTTGTACGGCGACTTGCAGAGGGGTGAGATACAAACAGCTCTTGCCGCGGAACGTGATGCTCCTCTTGAAATGTCGGCTCAGCGGTGAGGTCCCAGCAGGAGCATACTGGAGTACTCGTCTCAGAGTGTTGATGGCGTTGATATCTTGGCCACAACAAGCGTGGTGAAGAGCATAGTTGTACCTCGACTGCCGATCGCGGCGGTACAGCTCAGGGTTGATGATCTGATAGAAACCACTAGAAGTTCGTCCAAGCGCGTTGACATCCTCTTGGTGTAGAAGATATATTATTTTGAACAAGAGTTCGTTAGGCAAGCTGTCCAAGCCAACCGGCGGAACGATGTTCGCGACAGGCATCATGGGCGGGACTGGCCATACCAAACCAACAAGGTCTGCGGCTGCCATCACTTATGGTGCCGACGACAGCAAACCGGCTACGCGTAATTAATTTTGTCAGTGAGTCGCCGATTTGGGCTATGTACCAACGCGAAGGGGAAAACACGGGAAGGCTTACTCGGCGACGGAAGCACTGCTTCAAACGGTATTGTGAGGTATGATGCCAACGGAGTGGAGGACGGCAGTGTGAGTCAAGCGTCCAAGGCACGAAGGAGTGGACGAATTCCGTGAAGATGAGGAAAGTAAAAGGTCGGCGACCTGCTGCTGACTGTGCTTTTTATTAACGCCGCCTCGAGTTGCAGGCGAATCGGCGACGCGTAGGGTATCGCCATGAAATCTTTGAAACCACAACAAAAAGTCCCAACGGCAGAACAATGGAGTGAAGCCCAATAATGGAACAAGCAAGTAGCCAAAGTGGGTCTGGCTATTGCAAAGGTGCGTTTGAGCCTCCGCTGATTAGCTAGACGGCTTTCCCGGCTTCACTTCACCACAGGAGCAAAAATCCAAACGGGGCGTAGATACACAGACTCCATATCAAAGCTTGCTACGAGCATAATCGTTTCTCGTATTTGACAACCAATTATGCGTGTACTCGTGTAGTGATTGGATAGTATAAAACCGGCCGTGATATTCATCCTTCCATACCCCTCGTCTCTGGCCTCAATCTCTCCCTTCCTTGATAGGGCCCAGCTCAACTCATGCGGCAGGAGCAAAGCCACGGAATATCCGATTTTTGTACATACATAACCGGAGCGACAGGTGGTAGGTAGACGTAGTACTTGGGGTTCCTTCCAAGGCTGAAAGCTCTCGCCACCAGCCTGCCCGACCATCTTAAAAGCCCCCAGGTTGCCCCCATAAATTCAGAGTAGCCAAAATCGTACTTGCTCACGTTACGCAAATGCTGAACTTTCACATCAGGGCCTCAGTCGCCCAGGCTACCAATATCGCAATTTCAAGGTGTCTAGCCGTTTACGATCCCCTGGGTCCTTGCATGGTCCTGGCTTATCCTCCACCAACCTACCTCTCCATCTGATCCGCAATATTCACCATCAAGACTTTCCATCTTTCGCGGAAGCCAACCACACCATGACCAACAGCTCTGCGGCAGGCACGCCTGGGCCAGGCCACCATTTGTCCCACATCACGCGGATCCCCATCGAACTGGTGTTGCTAATATCATCAGATCTCGGTTGTCGCGAGATAATACGCCTTGCGACGACCTGCGCCCGTTTCTCATCGCGGAGCTTTACGCCAAAGACATCAAACACGGCGACTGCCACACCATGTGGTGGGGGTGCCATTACGGACGCGTTGATGTTATCGAGACTGCCATCAAGCATGGTGAACCTGAGAACCGACATTTTGCCAAAGAACACCTCATTTCGACCTTCAGCCGTCGCCTAAGTCCTCTCGTTGTGGCAATCCGCGCTCTTCAACTTGGTTCAGTCAAGTGCCTACTAGCACATGGCGCAGATGTCCACCAGCCGGATAAGTCTCCGATTCTTGCGGTTGAGTTCGGTTGGGATCGATGCCGTTGTTGGTACCCCATTCACTGGATTTTTTCACAGGAAATGCCACACGACGACCCCAAACATGCCATGACACGTTACGATATTCTGAGTACTCTATTGAAGGCAGGTGCTGATGTAAACGAGGTTCCCTCAATTTGTGATGAGACAAGCTGGATGGAGGATGTGGACAATGATAATATTCCGGTCTTCGAGGTGGATGAAGGCGCCCCCATCTCAATGGCTATGACTCCAGGTATCTCAGTCGATATCGTTTACCTGCTATTGTGTCGAGGTGCCGATGCGATACAAATTCATCAACTAGCAATAGAGACCTCCGTTTCCGGCAATGCGTTGGAGATCCTGCTTCAGCTGCCGGACTCTTGGTTAACGGTTGAGGGGCTTCACAAGTTTTGGATGGTTCTAAATCACGATCGTACCAGATTGATGCCCCTCATTCAGAACCTACTCCCGCACATCCTGGACAGTCATCCGACACCCTGGAAACTCAAACTACTTCAAGAGCTTCACGAATACCAGTGGTTGAAACCGAGTCAGCTGATGGATCCTGTTGGGCCTTTCCCAGATGCCCTGGGCGCCGCCGCCGCAATCATTGAGTTCGGCTTGGGACCAGATTGGGACGACATACTGATGGAAGCAACGGGTAGGCCGATGGTGCACGTTGTTGCAGACATGTTCACCTTCATCTTGGACAGCGGCGCTACTTTCCTGCCCGAGATTCTGTCGAGAGCCATCTTCGCTCTTTGCGCGGTTGGTGATCAAGTTTTAGACACAATTATTGCGCATCTGATCAAACATCACAACGACAATGCCCCCGTCACTATCCGTGGTGATGATAAAAACATTGCAAAGAGCAACCTCCTTTCGCTGCATGACAACAAAGGCAGAACCGCGCTACACATTGCTATAGACTACTACGACTTCCCAAGCAAGCGTGAAGGAAATTACAAACCCACCACGAGAGTGTCGATGTTGTTGCGTGCTGGAGCGCCGGTAAATGCAAAGGACGGTCAAGGGAGGCGTCAATTGGGTCAAGCTTGTTCTCGTTTCAAGTACTTGAATGGTGCCGTCGAAGTCATCAACACCCTTTTGGACGCTGGAGCAGACGTTGATGCAATATCGGATGGGGAGATTCCTCTCATGATTATGTTAAGGCACCTTCTGAATTCCTACACTGGATTTGAGTATTCATCAAATGGATCTGAAGCTTTGGCAGCTGCCAAAGAGATTGTGCAGACCCTGATTCAGTCAGGAGCTGACCCTCAAACTTCGATCAACGGCGGTGCTGGAAGCCCACTTAATTTCGCCAAGGGACAGTTGGCCAAGGCAGAGCGTTCGTGGTAGAGGAAAGAATGGCAGCTTCTGGTGTATGACTTGGAGAAGGCGAGCTAACATGGTTGAATGTTGGTATTTCTGTGTTTTGCCTGCAATGGACCACAGCGTTCGTTGGTGGAGGCTTTTCGACCGTGCTTTTCGATACCGAGCTCAACAACTTGCAGTCACACCACATTGGAACCGTTATTAGTTCATAAGTCAAGGTGGTGTTCTATGCCGAACGCTCACATTCCCCTAATGCTACAGATCTAGTGAAGGAATCTGACTGCAAAGATCAATGTGAGAATCTTATGTGATAATACTTCGAATCTCTCCCCAACACGCTGATTGTTCTTTTTAGTGAAATATGTACTTCGGTTAACGGCGGACTCAAGAGATGGCCCTACGTAGTCCAATGCATTCATGTTACACCGGAAGACCTTCTATGACCTTCCCCGGTTTCAACCGATCCAATCTAGCTGTTATATTTGATTGGTCACAAAGCATTGGTAGTGGATGGACCAAGTGGTTGCTTGGGTTGTATGCTGCGTTTTGTTGATGCTGGGCTGCAGAAACTGTATGGAGACAAAGCTCTTGGGCAAAACTTTCAATGACACAGGCGCATGTAGCATGCCCGGAGCCCAAGCAACTTGATGAAGTTATGTAATGACACGCTATGTTTACTTGATCAGAACGATAACTCGTCTCAACCCCCACAAGGATAATAGTTTGAAATTTTCAATCCTGACTGCCTTTTGACTTTGCTCGAACTTGGAGGCTCATATCGTACCCGATCGCACAACCCCCCCACAGCTCAGTGGCTCATAGATCAGAAATCAGCCATCGCGAACTTCAGGCGACTTCAGGATCTTATATCTGTTCTCGCGGTTCATGCGACTGGTGGTGATTCTGTCTGGATAGTTTCGAAGAAACATGTTGGTAAAGTGCGTGCCGTAATGAATGCCTTCGCGCGGAGTCTGCCCCGCGTCATAGCCAGGCAGAGGTCGACAAGTGGTTTTGAAGTTGGGCTCGTGAAAGTACGCGAACGCAAAACGGTCACGCGTGTTCAGGCCCACTTTATGGGAAGTTGAAGGGAGAGTAGAGTTGGACATGTACTGCATCATGTCGCCTGCCACTGTGGTCAGTAATACATGCAGCAGATCAGAAGTTCGCGCAGCCCATACCGGGAAACACGGTGAAGACACCAGGCACAGGGGGGACATAGGTCCACTTCTCGTCCTCTTCAGCCATACCAGCAGCAGATTTCTCCCAATTCGCGTATTTTTCGCCCTGGTAAGGTGGCCGAATGAACAGTCCTTGGCTTCTTGTCAATAACATTCTTATGATAAGTCTACGGGTGAAAGGTTGCCGGCCACTTACCACCAACATCGTCTTGAGCGGCGATGACCAACAGACCGTAGTCTGTGTGTGAACCAATACCACGGCCTTTTTTGCCTTTTCCATTGGTCTTGTTATGGGGTGGGAAACTGTATGGTAAGTTCTTAGTTTAAAGTCCCAGAATGAAGTGCATTGGGGTGGCCCTACCGTAAGATGCGCAAGTGGTGCCAGCCATCATCAGTTTGCTGCGTCAACGTCCCTTCTGGTATCTCCAGACCATACTCCAATAGACGTAACATAGTCTCGCCACAGTTACCAAGCTCGTTCATGTATTCCTTCATCACGTCCCGCATGGCTGCATCAGGCCAAGGGCATCGCCCGTGGCATGGCCATTGGGCTTTAACCTTAGCATCACCCAGCTCCAGGTCCTTTGTGACGGTGAAGATCTCACTATAGTCAGCTATTCCGTCAGTTATCTCCTCCCCACTGGCTATGTAGCCCGAGTAGCTCTGGCTGTCCACGCACGCTGCCTTCTCAGCATGTGGTCTTGAAAAGAACTCTTGGCTATTCTGCTGTGCCTGTGAATGTAGGGCTTCCTGGCGGGGGGTCATCGCTATCTGCAGTATGCCATCTTTCTGCCATGCATCAACCAGAGCCTTGCCCATCGTGCGGTCGCTTTGGCTACCAGTCACACGTTCTGGCAAGCAGAAGGTCTGCAGCAGACCTACTCGGGCTTTATAACCTGGTGGCATAGTGGATGCCAGGTCTTTGATTTCGGTGTGGGAAGTTCGAACCGATGTTGACATCCCATGTCGCATCAATGGGAGACCGTGTGAAGCTGTGAGCCGGGAGGCGCGAACTGATAGTGTGGCCATATTGAAATCTAAATAGGTACAAAATTTGGGTTGCAAATCTGGTCAAACAGAAAAGATTGATACTTGGGAGTTTAGGAAACATGAAATTGCAATGATATCTGTCAGTATTTATATTCGATTCTTCTTCGATTGGTTTGAAATAAACCGGCCCCTTCTCCAGCAGAGCATGACATGTTCCAAACTTCATCAGCCAACATTTGTTGCGTGTGATTTCATCGATCGATCGAATGCACGCAACGCAGTGTCATCATTTTGAGCACTCGGCATGCCAGCAGCTGTGATGAGTGGCATCGAACGAAATGCCGCGCACGCTCGTATCGTACGAGCATTGCTACATGCCTATTTCTTGTCATGTATAGCTCGCTCTCCGATCATGTCGATCTCTTTGGGCAAGGCTGCGTACTGTACTGAAGCATTACCATTCCAGGTTTAAATTGAGTCATATTGCTACATGTTGTGAATGAACGCTGTAAAATCTGCACGATGCATGTACCTCCTTGAAGCTGACAGGGGGAGAGAGTCGCTTATTCACTCCCTGCTAATAGCGGTTTGCATCCCCTCGTGCTAATGTCTAGTAAAGTATTTGTGTAAGAAATTTAGAGTGAAGGAGATCAACAAGGGTGCTGACTCGGAACTGTGAGGAGTATCAACGTCTAGTTACGCATAAGGGCTTTGATCTTTGCCAAGGGGTCTCGACCGTTTGTACATGCTTATTCATTAAGATCAGTTCCACTTTTAAGCTGACGGGCCACCTTTAGGAGCATCTCCTGCATTGCTGATCACTAATCAACAACGTACGGACCAATCATGTCTTTTAAAGTATAACAAACACCAGTTCAGATGGTATTGTGCTTTTGCCATGGCTTTTATCCGATGGTTGCTCACTTTTCGATAACCCTAGTAGCTGATTTCCATTAACGTCAACATGCAGAATAAAACTGGGTCATTAGATGTTCGATGGTCACTTAGCATGGCGAGCTTTGCAAATCATGGGGCATTTCACTGTGGTAACAAATGGTTTTCCGATTCACGACAATGTCAAAGTAACATCGAACGCGCAAGCATTCCATTTATGGCGCTATGTCCGACACGTATTTCAATGATGGCCAAACGGTCGATTGAGGTGCTTAGCACGGATTGGGCCTCTGAAATAAAGATAGGTAACATATCCAAGGACCATTGGCTGAAGAGAAACAATGTCAACAGGATATATTCAAACTAATCAAGGGCCACCTGGTTTACATCATGTATCTTCAGTTCTCTAAGTGAGCTCACAAAACAGCAGAGTTCCTAATTCGAGCGACTACCGTAGAGGGGCATCGACTGTTTTAGCTACGCCTAAGCGGAATACTTTCGGAAAAAAAGCGTGCAACCAAGCACTTGGCCCCCCACATCATTCGTCATTTGCGAATCAAACAAAGGGATTCTGTGTTTCCCTATAGAATGCCTAGGCGGAAGGACGTGCTAGAATCCATACAAGGGTGCACAGACTAATCGTACGAAATTCAACACGTGAGTGTTCAGTCGAATGGTCCTGCCCAATGGCACATCTATCCGAGGCTACCTTATCTTATACACGCCTTGACGCATGATGACTAGCATAAGCATCTAGAAAAGGATCCACAAAGGACCCTTGCACTGGATGGACCAGAGACAAGAGCGGAAGAGAACTACCGCTGCAATAGAGTCACGCTTCTCTTGTCCTCTCGTTGCTTCTTAGAACCACGTCAGATATTCAACTGCAAAAACCATCAAGCTCAACTATCTGGTCCAAAAACATATCGTGGTGGTAGTGAAATTTTAATAATAACAGTTATGACTTGCTGTAGCTGGGATGGTTAAGTCTTGAACACCACGTGTTGAGGAATATGGGACGTGCATCATTTTAGGATCCGTCCATTGTCTCCCGTATTGAATTTCCGGTGCCTCGAGCACCGACTTCATCATCACCATGGTCTTTGCAGTACAACCCCTTTCTTGGCGCATTTTTAGCGGCTTGTCAAGGTTGTTGGGTCGCAAATGTCGTACGTTTGATTCAGACTAGACTGGGATGGTGTTCTGCTGGCGAAGCCGCACCGCCGCTTTATAAAACATGAAAATGGTACGATTTCTCTGCCAGAATGCGAGATTGAGCGAATCCAGGGTGCCGCGTCTTCGGACTGGAGTGCCCAAGGCGACGGATCATCATTTACCTTATCTTCCCAGGATCTGTGTGAAATTAGTATCAATGCTCTCTTGGAGGGATTGTGACCTTTAGTGTTGGCCATTTATGAGAGCCGGTAAGATTATTTGAGACAGCAATGTTGAGTGGCGGTATTTGTATAGTCGGGTCACCACTACACCATAGTGCTGACGACAACCATGAATACCCCAAATTCTATCGTCATTGCATCTGTTGAGGAATATATGGGTGTCCAATCTGTGAAAGGTGGTTTGGACGAGGAGGTGTAGCTGCATAGGCTTTTGTAGCATTGAAGCTTGCGGTGTAGCATCGTGAGTTGTCCTTTTCGCGGTCTCTCCCGATCTTAACCCCCACCTTTCTGCTTCAACCGACCCAAGTGTTTTTCGCGACCGAGACATTCCTACAGTCTATTGAGTTTCTAATTACTATGTCAAATTCACGATGTCCATCCAATGGCCAATGGTAACGAGGAAGGGAACATTTGCTAGTGTCCAAAGTGCAATTTTGAAGCTATATGGCCCTTTGTCGCCAAGACGGTTATAATTCCATTGTGACTCTAGCGGCCCCGAGGGTATTGCTGGACCGCAATCTCCCTCGGTAGAACCTTTGGCAATTGTTGATGGAGGTACATAGCCGACGATGGGCGGAGTTATGTGAGAGAGGAATAATTTTTTCCAATTTGCCCTCCTCTGGTGTTCAATATGCCACAGTGCCTTGTTTCACAGGCTGGATGTACAATCCCTTTCTTTTCAGCCCTACAAAGGGGTAAAGAACGCTGGATCCTACTATTTCTTTTTACCATGAAGAATACACATAGGTTGTACCAGTGTTGTCACATATCAGCACTTGAGTGCCAGGCGTGCAAAACCTGCTACTTTTTTAGCTTAACAAATAATACCCCCACACTTAAACCTAGTATGTCAAGCCCATTCTAGAAAATCTTGTGCTATCAGCAGCTCGAGACCCCTATGGTAACAACTACGGTATGCAGATTGTAGATAGTGAGCTCAGGTAGTGTGGGTTGTGGTGGCTTGGTGTGACTTTGCGTTTTATTTCATGTATGGTTCATTTCCTGTTGCGTGTGGATTCCAAAAAGAAAGAAAGAAACACCTTTTCACCCATACATCGAACCCGCACATCCTGGCGAACAACAACCCCTATTAGACGTCCTACAGGAAGTGCTAGCCCCTTTTATTAGCTGTGCCCCTTTTATTAGCTGTGCCCCTTTTATTAGCTGTGCCCCAATAGACAAGGTATGTTGGGTTCGTCGTTGGTGACGATAAACACTGCTTTGGCTACGGTGGGCGTTCTGGGATCTCACTGCCCTGGAGCACTACTCCAGTTTAGTAGCCCGGAAAGTCTAGACCAAGCGCTAGTCCTGCACATTTCTACGGTAAATATATTAATCTGGGGGCGGGGTGATCTGAGACCCACCACAGAACCGCGCGTCTGAGTACGGTGGTATTTTAAAAACTGCCGGGACTTCTGCCTCGGCCCGGTCTCGCTCTGGGTGTCACATGACCACGCGGTCTGTGCAGTGGTTGTCATCGGCAGTGGAAGGTGGTAACTAACTTCAGGAGCAGTTCACCTCTCTAATGTGACATCCGGAAAGTTTAGTACCTATAGCTTAGAATTTCCAAAATTCTGTTCGAAAGTTTTGAACACACTCGATTGAAGGCTTATTGATCCAACTTGGCATTGAGCTTAAACATGGTTACATAGATACAACTGGGGCATCAATAACTAACAGCGCCCTGTGACGGTTTGAATCTCCTGCTGGTTCTTGCATAACAAGGCATTAAAAAAGTGACGGCCTATAAGTGTCTCCGTGTAAGGAATTCATACGATGGAGTGGAACAACGTTGTTCCGAAGGATCGCCTCCCATATAGCACGCACTTAAGTCCACTTCAATTGTAGCTCGTCATGATCAACTTCGGTCAATTTATATTATCCCATGCGCCTCTTAGTGTGCCAAAAAGCTACACCATTTCCAATCAAAATATGCCTCGTTCGCTGAGTATCTAGAGGCATTGCGCTCGGAGGGTAACTGGAACTGACTTGAGCTACTGTTCTCTGAGGTTCTGAAAGTTTGTGAATCATCCCGAATCTTAGGAATAGGGCCTGCCCCGAGACGCTGAATCTGCTAACGGTGAGAGCGCATTTTCCTAGATATATTGAATCACTTGTAAATCTGGTAACCATTAGTGATTTGAGGATTCGCACTTGATTTCTCAGCTAATATTTCACAAAGTTCTATATCACTAACACAAAAGACTTCGAGTTGAACGCAATTTCATCACTGGTGCCTAACAAGTTTTTACACTGCTTTGCAATGTGGAATGGAAATGAATTGTTTACAACCGGTACTCATATGGCGCAACCCAAAAGCAATAAAAGAATCAGATCAAGGGTGCTGCACACAACGTTGAAGTGTGGTCATACCAGACCTGGCACAGGAGTTCCATGGGGCACCGCAGTTGCGGCCGCCGCACCACACTCACCATGTCCGTTAATAATGATGTCCTCCGAGGAAACTAGTTTGTCGCTGCTTTGGCCATTGCTCAAAGAGTAGTTGTTCTCGTATGTAGAAGGGTCGTCTCTGAGGCGAGGCCCGTTTTCTTCAGACTCCGAGGGTGGTGTTCTCAAGTCAATGTCTGGAAATACTTCCTTGGTACGTTCGGGCAGCGACTCGACGAAGCCACGCCACATTGCAGAACACCCTTTGCACAGCTGAACGCCACCGAAAGTGTTCATACCCTTCGCGCCATACGTGGGACGATGGGTACATCGTTCGCAGTGGCGCTGCTCAGCCCCTCGTCTAAGGAAAGTGGGAAGCTCTGGAAACATCAACTCCTCGCTGCGTCTTAAGATAGCTTCGTAACGTTCTTCTTCGGCTGCCTTAGCTGATTGTGTCTTGCTATCGGCCTGGTTGGCCTCTGCATCGACACGATTCCACAGTTTGACGTTGCGTCGAGTCTGGGCAACAACGCTCTCAGTCTCGGGCTTACCAACCGTCAAACCCTCCTCTACGAAGCGGTAACGATTCATCATCATGTGTATGGGACCGCCAAAGAATCGGACAAAGTTCATTAGGAGGGTCCCCTCAGGCCGATGAATATACGCCACGTCAAGCGCCCACAGGACCTCGCGAGCAACTCGGAAGGACTTGACACGAATATCGTGAGGCACATAAGCGAAAGTATTGTTCGTCTCTCCCTCGCTTCTGTGTTTATAAAAGGCCACTGAGTCGTACAGAGTATCGCCGATTTCTGCAAGCAGATCGAATTGTTCGTCCGACAACCAAACGTCGTCAAGATCATTGCATGCCAGGGCAGAGGCCATAGTGAACCGTGCGAGCGCGTCGCAATCTCGCATACGGAACCACGTCCGAGGCGATGTAGCTAGGGCGTTGACATAGTTTGTAAAAAGCTTGCCGTTACGACGCTTACTGGCCTTGTCCGCGGTTACAAGAAGAAAAGTCTTGTATTCGCGCGCCATTACAGCGTGCCCGGCAGTCCCTTCAAAGAGTTCCGCCAAGGTCCCATCAAGGGAATATCCCAAGATTTCGTCCCCGGCCATCACGTCGACCAGGTCACCTTTAAACTCGGCTATAATGCCCATGATAATAATGCGCATAAAAGCAACATAGCGATTCCAATTGGTATACTGAGGAATGACACATCGTGTGTATTCCCAGGCACATGCGTAGGCCTCTTGCTTGAGTGCTTCAGAGAGGTGCTTGCAATCATCGAGATCGTGTGCAATGTCAGGCGGGTAAGTCGGAGCACCCACATATGGGCCCCCCCTGCATTTGGGCCCCCTGTTCACCAACCACCCGATTTTCCTACCATACAACAATTTACCTCACTGTTCAACCAAACCTTCTTCAAATCTCTTCAAAC